TGGTCAAAAACATAGCTGTGGTGAGGTTGTGGGCAGTGTTCCATGACAGGTGGCAGCGGTCCACAGCAGCAGCAGTAGTAGAGGGTTCAGTGAGAGTCCATGTTGTTTTAGATATACAAGAGTTGTTGCATTCTTGTACAGCCACTAGTACGCGTAGCGTTTCGGGCAAGTCCTTAATCCTATGGTCCCTGGAATACGATCCCCTGCCGCGAAGAATCGTTTTTTCATCCAAGTACACATTTTACTGTTGCGTTAAACAGAGGCTACAGTTAAGGAATTGCGCCCAGTAAATCCTCCCCGGCCAGGATACGAACCCATGACATAGCGCTCGCGGAACGCCAGGCCAGTGTCTTACCACTACACCACGGAGACTGCTAATTTATTTATTTATTTATATACAAGAAGGTACAATTTGTTTGTGAGGATACATTGCATGGCATTTACATTCTTGTAAAGCCACTAGTACACGCAGCGTTTCGGGCAAGTCCTTAATCTAACAGATAATTTTAAATAGGTAAATTCTAGGAGAATTTATAAAAACAGGTACATTGTAAGAAAAAGAATGAGATGATAGAGATTAGTAGGTGTATTAAAGCACATCGGTAGCTCTGATTGATTACATTGACAGCTTGCGTGGTAATTTAACAAAGATTAATAGGCACAATACAACATATTGATAGCACATATAAGAAGACAGCAATGATCACAATGTTAAAGTTGTTTGGATTAGAGATTGGGAGATTAGGTAGCACTAGATACAGCGCAATTTTAAAGCACAAGGTAGGAAACCATAAAGATGAAAGTAGGTACTTTTTAGTTTCGTTGACCAGACCACACACTAGAAGGTGAAGGGACGACGACGACGTTTTGGTCCGTCCTGGACCATTCTCAAGTCTCAAGTTTAGTTTTTAGTCAAAACTAAAAAAACTTTTTAGGTTTGTTTTTTGAAGGAGACAAAAGTTGGACAGCTTTTAGTTACATCTATAGTTAGTAATTGAAAGTTGCATTATTTGAATTTACACTAATTACAATTCATGGTAATATGTCTTAGCTATCTGCAGGCTTATCACTTTGGGGGTTCCGGCGGAGCACCCAGCGGCGCGCTAATGACTTTACAAGAAAATTGATGATTGATGAAGATTAAGCCACCCAAAAGGTGGAACGGGCATGAATAGCCCGAAAGTGGTGGCCCTTTTGAGTCATTACCAGTATCAATAGATGATACTGGAGATCTGTGGAGGTGCGACTGCACCCTGCGTGACTGGAGATGTCTCCCGTGTTTATAAGAATGTTAACACCATGCTATGTATCCTCACAAACCCAATGTACCGTCTTGTGTATAAATAAATAGATAAATTAATAAATAGTATGTATTCTCAAAATCCAGTGTACCTTCTTGAATATAATTCTATAAAACGCCATTCTTCAATGGCTTTTCATCAATAAATAAAATAATTAATAAATTAACAAATATAATAAATAAATAAATAAATACTATAAACTACAAAGAATACTCTACAAATATTACTTATTTAATTAAAATTAGTTTTCCCATTCTATGTTTCGCTTGACCTCAGAAAAATAATATATAGCGGATGTGCTAAACTGTTAAGATTAAGATTATTGTTATCGTAGGGACGAAGAGAGCAGACAGTCTCGCAGAGGCCTGAGAGGGTGAGGATGGCGGGGCGCGTCAAGGTCTTTCAGCTACTGAAGTCGCTCTCCTCCGCCTTGTAAGACACGAGCCAGTACTCTTGTTTCTTCCCAAGCCTTCAATTAACGTGTTTATTACTACCTGCATCACTGACAGCTCTTAATATGTTGTGACTGGCTGTGTTGACCGATGCGTCTGCCCTCTCCCTGGCTGCTGGCCGCTTGTTTACGCTCAAATATGCGTTAATAAACATTTTTAAATGATTACATGTGCAATATTTTTATTAATTGTGGGTGTTGAGTAATAAAGCAGTTTGTTCACACCATATTAATCTGTTGTCTGTAATTATTATGTAATGTTATGTAATTAAAAGTTGAGTCTCTCAGCCAGTTTGAGAGAGAGACTTAAGAAATATTTACTTAATTACATGTAATTATTATCATATAATTAATGTCATGTCACTAATTTAACTAATTTACCCTCTTAATAAGATATTTTTGTGTTACTCTTTCTTAAATTGTATTTATCATTTGTATTTAATACCTGAACATATTTATTTACCTGAGCATTTATTATTAAATTCTCAGGTAAATTAAATTAAATGTTGTTAATAATTATTGTTATTAATTATTATGTAAACACACTAAATGAATATTTTACGTCAGTGTTCACACTAGAAAGGTTGGATGACATCCCATCACCCACATATGTGTTAAGGATTTATATTTATATTTATATTATATTTATTTATATTTATATTTAAGGAGGCAAAGAGAGTGAATTTAGGAATATTGTAAAACCATAACATGTGACATAATCAGGAAGAACATTGACAAACTAAGACCCAAAAGCCCCAGGTGTGGATGAAATACAATCCAAAGTCATAAAGGAATTGTCAGAATAACTATGTCTACCACTGATATTACTTTTCACAAAATCACTGGAGCAAGGGATAGTCCCTATAGATTGGAAATATGCAAGTGTCACCCCTATTTTCAAGAAATTGAAATTGAAATAAGTTTATTGAGGTAAAATACACACAAAGGGATGAGGTAGCTCAAGCTATTCTCACCCCGTTCAGTACAACGTGTTAGTACATACATAGACACACATCACAAACAATAAACCTGTTACCAAACATTCTGAGAGATAAACATGTACATTTCAAGAAAGGCAGAAATAGTTCAGCAGAGAACTACCGGCATATAAGCTTGACATCGCACATCTGCAAGCTGATAGAGAATCCTAAGGGAGGAAATCAATCATCTTCTTTCGGTGAACAATCTTGTAAAATCGATAGACCATAGGTTTGCAAATGAGGAGTCACAATAACAAGGCTGAAAAATGTTGACCAAACCACACACTAGAAAGTAAAGAGACACCGTTTCGGTCCGTCCTGGACCATTATCAAGTCAATTGTGATAAGAGGAAGTTGTTGTATTAGATTTAGCTACTCGGAACGAAATGTCCATGTAGCACAGGCTATGGTGAGCCCGTAATTGAATGTGGTTATTTGCAAAACCTTGTTACTGTGATATTTGCATCAAATTTTAAATAGAGGTGGGGTTTCCTCCTTTTTCCATTTCTTTTTCACTTCTGTTTTAGTGTACAGGTTTTAGTCTTGTTCTAATAATATTATCTTGATGGCGGATGTAAGTGCAGAATGTTCACTAGTGAGTCCCATTCTTCAATGGCTTTTCTAATCATTATAGTCGCTGTGGAATTTGCATCTAATGCAGCTGCTGTCGTTGGATTAATGTTGAGTTTGATGCTCAGGGCTTCAGTCACTTCACATTCCAATAAGTAGTGCAATAATGGCGCCTCTGTTTCTGTTCCACAGATATGACACTCTTTAACTATTGGGTTTATTACCTCCCTGCAGCACTTGTAACGAAGTCTGTGTATGGCTGCTGCAATGTCTCTAGATATCTTTTGTCAGGCTTGAAAGAGTAGTACCCAGTGGCTTGTTCATACCACATCACAGTGGATCTTCCTTCTGCTACTGTGGCTCTGTGATGACTTTTGATAGTTGGGAGTATTTTCTTGATTTGCTCCTTAATCTGAGAAAAACTTGGAGGTACTAGTATTTGAACCTGTACAACAGGTAGAGCAGTGGCAGTTTTTGCTATTGAGTCTGCCATTTAAGAACGGCAGGTAATGAGTCTGCCGTTTAAGAACTGCAGACTCATTACCATCTAAGCCAATGTGACTTGGTATCCAATTTAGGGTGATTGATAGCCCTAGATTATGGGCTTCTTTTCCTATACGTTTGATTTCTGTGAGGAGTTCTATATTATCTCTGTGCTGACTGGATAAGAATGCCTGGAACGATGATTTAGTCGGTATGAATGATGACATCTTGTAAATTATTCTGTTGTATAATTTATGGCCTTCAGAGCATATAATTCTCTTTGTACTGTCGAGCACCCACTATTCATGCTCCAGTAAGCTTCATGGTTGTTAGTGTAAACTGCTGAAAGAACCTCTTTCTTGATCATCTCATACATTATGATGTGAGTGGTTGTAGGTCTTGAGATAGTTTCCATTTGTTCTATGACTGCTTGAGATATATATATGAGAGGAGTTACATTCTTGTACAGCCACTAGTACGCATAGCGTTTCGAGCAGGTCCCTGGAATACGACCCTCACGAAGAATCGTTGTTACAACCAAGTACTCATTTTATTGTTGAGTTAAACACGAGGCTACAGTTAAGGATTTGAGCCCAGTAAATCCTCCCCGGCCAGGATACGAACCCATGACAAAACGCTCGCGGAACGCCAGGCGAGTGTCTTACCACTACACCATGGAGACTGGTGACTCTGGCTTTGAGCCTCTGCAAGTCACAAGCTGATTTTTTAACTGGTAATCCTTCAATGATTATCTTTAGACTCGATTCTTCCCATGGAGGAGGCTGCCGAAAGTGTTGATATGGTCGATCTTCCCCTTTGTTTTTAATGGTCCATTTCAAGTCCACTTTCTCTAAGTTTAAGGCAAGTTGGTTTCCATTCTTAGATTCTCTTGACGTATCCATATAGGTGCTCCCAGCATTGTTCTAAGAGCATCATTTTGAGACACTTCCAGTTTCTCCCATTGGTTATCTTGGTTATCACTGAGGGATGTAAGAGCAGGAGTAGCATAGTCAATGAGTGACCTAACTACAGTACTTGAACGAAGTACATTTTGAGTACTCATAGAGATGCACCATCTCCGAGACTTGTCAGGGAGTGCAAAGCTGAGTTTCTGGCTTTACAACGTTGCCAAAGATATTTAATTTCTTGAGTGAATTTCAACTGGCTGTCTGTTATGATGCCAAGGTATTGAAATGAAGTAACCCACTCAATTTCATGTCCTTGTATTGCGAGTCTGATGTCTTCAGTTCTCATTTTAACGGCCCTTGCTTTGGTGTTATTGCTGTTTATTTTAACTGCTATGCGTTCTGCTTCCCTGCTGATAATATCTAGCCATTTTTGTGCATGGTTCCTGGCACCTTTGCCATTGATGATGACCACCACAAAGTCATCTGCATAGTTAATCAGTTTGGCTTTTGGTAACTTGAACTTCATAAATTGTTTCATGAAACATTTGAAGAGGAAGAGGCTTAGTATTCCTCCCTGCGGAGTCCCATTTTCCAGCCTCTTTGAGGTCAATGTTTTTCCTTGGAATTTGATTTAGCTTCTCGGTTAAGCAGGCTTCCTTTGGCAAAGGCAAGAACGTGTCCTTTGATTTCCTTATCCACAAGGTAGCACAGTGTACATGGAGCACTGGCTAACTCGAATGCTTTTTCTTGGTCTAGAAAAATAAGGATTCCTGGTTTGTCATTGATTTGATCCAGGAGGGAGGTAAGGCATTATGTGGTTATCTTGAGATGATTTCGGGGTTTTTTAGTGTCCCCACGGCCCGGTCCTCGACCAGGCCTCCACCCCCAGGAAGCAGCCCGTGACAGCTGACTAACACCCAGGTACCTATTTTACTGCTAGGTAACAGTGGCATAGGGTGAAAGAAACTCTGCCCAATGTTTCTCGCCGGCGCCTGGGATCGAACCCAGGACCACAGGATCACAAGTCCAGTGTGCTGTCCGCTCGGCCGACCGGCTCCCGAATTTGTGTGTGGTTCCCACACTTTTTATGTAAGCAAACATATTTTGGTGCAGTGGATTGGCTTTCCAGTCGATTCGATTAAGAGCTATTCTTTTTGCAGTTTTGGCTAGACAGCTTGTTGATGAGATGGGTCTTGGATTTCCTGGGTCTTTGGGTTTTGGAATGGGAACTGTAATTGCTCTGTTCCATGAGTGGTCGAGTTTTTGTCGCCCACACTGTTGAAGAGATTCAAGAAGGCTTCTTCACTCCTTTCTCCTAGCTTGGCCAGCATGTTGCAAGTGATTTTGTCCTCACCTGGAGCTGTATTTTTAGTTTTCTTTGTAGCTCTTCTGAGTTCTTCAGATTGAAAGGTTGGTCTAGTTTGTCAGGTAAGGCTAAAGTATCGTCTATTTTTTTCCATCTTGCTGCGTGAAGTCTTTGTTGGTGAGTCAGAGTTGCTTGAGGAAGTCATGTGGCCGTGATCATATAGTGGTTAGTACATTGCATTGTGAGAGGAAAGGAGGCAATGGCAATAAATGGGCAAGAGAGAGGTGAGGCGAAGGAAATCTTAGAGGAAGAAAAAACAAGGCAACAGGAATGGAAGGTAAGGTGTAATAAAGGAGGTAATAATAGGAATAAGAAAGGGATTATAAGAGAAAACAAGGGAAAGAAAAAGAAGGATAAAAGGAAGGGGTAGGCTTATGTTAGGTCACATTTATTAGAAAGTTTAGAACATTTGAATATATACTGTGAAAGGGAAAAGTCGCCAGGAGTAAGGTTCATGTTGGGTATACTGTATTATGTCTCCGAGCCGATTCGACAAGACGGCATCTATGTAGAGTAGAGGGAGGAAAGATTTTGGATGAAGACCAATCAATAGGATGATTAGAATCCCTAACATGACAGAAGAGAGCATTGTTTGTGTTTCCAGACTTGACACTTCTTTTGTGTTTCTTAAGTCTGTCATTAAGTGTATGGGTGGTTTCACCAAAGTATTGGAGAGTATAAGACGAACAGGAAATAAAGTAGACACCAGCAGCATTAGAAGCAGGAAGAGCAGTGTGAACTAGATTGCTACGAAGAGTGTTAGTTTGTCGAAAGACGAGCTTTATGTTAAGAGGACGAAAGGTATTGGTAAAGGTTTTGAGTTCAGATATGAAGGGAAGACAGAGCACAGTGCTACTAGTGTTGGAAGCAGGTTTAGGATGAAAGAAATTACATTTAGCTTGAGAATAGGCACAATTGATAAGATGTAAAAGGTAACCAAGGCGGGAGAATGATTTGTAGATAAAGGAAATTTCAGAATCGAGAAACTGAGGGTCACTGATGCGTAGAGTGCGAAGGAAAAGAGACGAGGACACTTTTCTTAACGGGAGGAGGATGGTAGGAAAGGAAGTGAATGTACATGCCACTATGCATAGGTTTGCGATAGAGAAAGAGAACCTGGTCACAGAGTTATGAATGTGAACGTCAAGAAAAGGAAGGAGGGAATTAGATTCTCATTCAACTTTGAAATGGATGGAAGAGCCAGATTGTTAAGGGATGAGAGGAAAGGCTGGAAAAGACTAAGGTCATAAAGCCATAAAGCAAAAATGTCATCAACATAACAAAGCTAGAGAGAGGGACAAGTATCAATAGAAGGAAGAACAGTTTTGAAGTATTCCATGTAGAAATTGGCAAAAACAGGGAAGAGAGGGGAACCCATATCGACACTGAAAGTTTGAGAGTAGTATTTACCATTGAAAAAGAATGAGTTAGTCAACACAGTCTAATGAGTTCGGGGAAAATGTCAATGGGAAGCGGGAGAGGAAGAAGGCCCTCAGTCACCTTCTGTCTAAGGAAAGAGAGAATATCAAGGGGAACGTTAGTAAACAGTCGACATAAAGACTAAGCATCTTACTGGAGGGCTGCAGGCACAGTCTTTCTATGAAGTCCTGAGAGTGACGAAGGTGGGCAGGAGAAAAAGTGCCAAGGTAAGGCGTCAGAGTATTAGCTAGCCAGGAGGCAAGAGGATAGCCGACAGAGCCCCTTGAAGAAATGGTAGAACAAATAGGAACACCCGGTTTATGAGTCTTGGGTAGACCATAGAAATAAGAAAGAGAAGGGCAGATAACACGGAAATGTTTAACGATAACAAAGTCAGGAGGACAAAGACTAGAAAGATGCCTTAGTTTGCAGTTGAAGGAAGTTTTAAGGCGATCCAAAGGGTTAGAAGTCAGAGGGGCATATGTGTGGGACTGAAACGTCATGTGGTTTGGTCAACAGACCATAGGTTTGTTAAAAATAGATACTGCCTTACGAACCTGCTCACACTTTTTGGAAATGGTAACCAGCTACTCATACAAAGGCCTTCTGGTTGATGTAGTATACATGGATTTTGCTAAAGCCTTTGATAACGCACCACATAAGACTAGCAAGGAAATTACAGGCACATGGAATAAATGGAAGAATACTAGAATGGATAAAAGAATGGTTTTATTAAAACCATATTTGGTAAAATGGGGGGCGTAAAGGGCGAGTGGACAGTGCTCGGGATTCGTAGTCTTAAGGTTCCGGGTTCGATCTGCGCCAAAGGCGGAAACAAATGGGCAGAATTTCTTTCATCCTTATGCTCCTGTTCAAAGCAACCCCATATGCTAAATCCAGAGAAAAAACAAATCGGAAACAATGAAATAAATATATAAAAACATCTTCATGACAACTCCTCTCTCATGGGTGTCTTGGGAGACCACCCCTCGGCGATTGCTCAATGAACTCTAATGAAACTTGATATCATGAGACTTCGAGGTTTCACCATGGTCAAAGTAAGTTACATACAATTTTTATTTTATTATGTTTCCTATGATCAAGGAATACATTTTAACAATATTAAAAAGAAAAAAGTTAAAAAAAAAATATTCTTGCAAACTGGGGGAGATGTTGGCCATTATAGGGGCACAGCCCAGGGATTAAATATGCATTTTGTGTAATGGCTATTCAACCACTGTATTTTTTGTTTAATATTATCATCTGGCTGCCAGTGATGCTGGTGTACAGTTCCCAGGAATGGCACACTGTAGTACTACTAATACTACCATAAGACTGTTACTTCTGCTACTTCCTCTTTATATATGACTGCACAAGTTCACATCATTGTTCAGGTGCCAGTGTCCGGCCCACTCTGCTGGCAGGATCAACGTACTACACTCCACGCAGTCCAGGAAAACAACTGATTATGCCTTTGAGGTTAGTGTCTCTTGCATACTTGCTTCATTCAAGGTGTGAATATAATATAATTGTAATCTTTAAAATCTTGCTTACAAATTAAATTTTTATGTTTCCAAAGCATGGTTATAAATGCAGTCTTCCAAAACTTGCATGTGAATGCTAGTACAATTTTCCAAAATTTGCATATGAATACCCAGCCTATCCTCCATTTTTATTAGTACTTATAGTAACGATGAGGATCATAATACAGTGGTACCTTCGTTTACCAATTTAACCCCTGGGCAGTGTTTGGGGTTATAGCCTGCAACACCGCTAGGCGCAAGAAAAAAAAAAATTTCTTCAAAGATTGTTAAAATGTGTTCCCTGATCACTGGAAAAGTAATACAAAAATCGTAGGCAACGTATTTTGGCCGCAATAGTACAAGGAAGTCTGGCAAAACTGAGGCACTGACAGAGTAAGCGTCCTGCGGCGGTCTGCTCCACCCCCACTGTCAGGTGGGAGTTGCTACAAAGATATTATTACCTAATTAATTTAATAGTGTGATGTATTTATATAATAAAATGTGTGAACAATCGCTATACTCAAAAGTATGATGTGCATATTAGTGATCCAATTACAGTGGTATTTCGGCTTACGAATGCCCCTCTTTGCAAACTTTTCGGATTAAGAGCCCGATTTCTTCGTAAAATCTGAATCGAGTTACAAACTTTGCCTTGGGAAATGAAGTTTGTTGATACGCGTATGGTTGACCTAGCATGTGGTGGCACGGAGATCGTGCCTCAGTTTACCAGTGCCTCCTGCCTAGTGACAATCGCGTTTGAATTCTTTGTAAAAAATTTCATTTTTTTTTTCTGGTTTTTGGCTATATGAACATAAAAGTTATTATATATCTCACCATGGGTCCCAAGAAAGACAGAGGTAAGATTCAAGCAAAGAAAACACACTTCAGAATGACCACAAGGAGCAGCAACAAGAGGCAGCTGAGGAAATGTCTTCAGGGGAGGAAGAGGCAGTACACAATGTCCCTTCCTCAATAATTAGGAAGTGGTGTAGACTGTGGGAAGAAATGCAAACTTGTTGAAAGGACTCTCCCAAAGCAAGCTGTAGTAGGCTGTTGCATTAACCAAAAAGCATTAACTTTTTAATGAAACTGTGATGCCTCACTACAGACAAGTGTTACAACGAAGGGAAAAACAATCCTTTTATGGATTGATTTTTAGTGAGAAAATCAATCGGTGAACTACAAGCAGGCAGTGCCTAGTGGTATGCAGGCAAAATGTTCGAGTGTGTACCCCCAGAACAATGGGGTACACCCAGCCACACCCAACCAGCAGACGCTGACTCCCTCTCTCCTTCATCACTTCACTCGCCAACATTGCTCCTCCTATCATACTGTTTTTTCTGTTACTATACAATATACACACGTTATATATAAGTATCTACATGTTTTGTTCACCGTAACTGTGGTGCTCGTTTGGTACTCGTTTGTACTCGGTACTCGTTTGGATGTGAGAGGGGAAGGGCTACGTGATTCGAGCTCCGCAAGACAAATATATATCCAGGTATATTTCAGTGATACAGGAACTAAACACAGTCAGATACCTCATAAAGTGTCTCAACATATTAAACAATATATCATAGTGATTGCCATTCGACATTTGTGTTTTAAACCTTAAACCGCTAAGGGCCTTTTTGCCTTCAACACCCACAGGCGTAACAAAAAAAAAATCTAAAAAATTCTTTCGTCTTATAAAAGTGTTCATTTGTGTTCCCTGATCATGGAAAAAATAGCAAAAATCGTAGATGGCATATTTTGGCCGTAATAGGGCGGGGAAGTCTGGCAAAAAACTAGCGTTGAATGTAATGAAACGTCATTTTCTGGGCGAGACCCAGAGGCTCCCTGGAGATATACCGGGCTGATGTGTATATATTAGACCATGGCAACAGTTAATCGGGGATGTCTACTAAGAACTAAGCCTAGGGGACCAAAGCCAGAACCTGGCCCTCTCAAAAAAGGCACGAGAAGCAATGGCCTAAAGACACCCCAGCAGACATTGACATGCTGGGGAAGGAAGGGGGTTTTGGAGACCGAACAGGGTCTTGGCCGCTAGATATCTAGTGAACGTTCAGAGCCCTTTCCAGCCTTGTGTTACTTTGGGGCTTCTGTCGCAGCTGTCGGTCTCTTCTTCGATATGAGCCCTGTGGTGCTGTTGCTGCCTTCCAGGTATGTCCCTGTTTTTTCTTATCTGTGGGTAGTTAGTTTCAGGGAGAAGACGGGACTTCCCCCAGAAAACCAGCGATGAATATAATGAAACGTCATTTTCAGGGCGAAGCCCTGGAGGCTTACTGACAATCCGGTCAGCAGTTTTTTAAATCATGCCAATTATGCCAATTATGGCAAGAACTGAGGTGGTGGGTGGTCTGCTTGCCCGAGCCGGTTTCCCTTTCCCCTTTTCTGTGGCCGGGGGGGGAGGAAGAGACATACACTAACGAGCAGGAGTACTAGTTGTGTACAGGGTTGCTAGTTTCTTTTCTTTCAGCAGGAGTTTCTTTACTTTTTATGGCAGTAGGTTGCAATTTTACCGGCTAGTTGTTTGTTTTAGTTCTCCTATCTTTCTGGATGCTCACCCCAGTCGATGGCAGAATGTGGCAATAATTTAAATATACAGTGCTCATACACGATTGCTCCTTGTGCCTCTCTGAGGTGGCCAGGTTTTGACTCGTGGTAGGCAAAAGAACTCTGACTGATGACATAAATTAAAGAAGCACTATATCAGTTTGGATAGCTTCAAGGAGCCTGCAGGGTTTCGCCCAGAAAATGGCGTTTCATTACACTCAACGCTGGATTTTTGCATAGTTTGGGGAATTCTATGGCTGTTTATAGAATCTGCAGGTCTCGAGAGGTGGCCAGCTGTGGTTTATTGTGCCTCGATGACTTTCTGGGTGCCTTCCTCGGTGGTGGCATAAATGAAAAACTAAATATATAAATGCTTCGGCTCCTTTTGCCTCTGTGAAAGGACCAGATATGGCGGTAGGTCCCCAGTAGACCAGAAAACTACACTATGGCACCTTCATTGGAGATGGTATCTTCAGAGAGCCAATGGGGCTCACTCAGAAATTGGGGTTTCATTATATTCAATGCTGGTTTATTATTTACAAGAAATTTGTTATGGTCAAATTATATTGTTATCTAAATATTTTTTCATCTCGTTCAAATAAGTAAATTTGATTGTTTTTGCCATATATTTACTTCCTAATGTGCAATAAAGCTTAAAGATAAGGTTGCTCATATTCTTAGATGGCATGTTCGACTGTTCGTTATGGACCTGGGGTGACCAAAGAAGTTGGGCAAGACTTACAGACTATGGGAGCCAAGAAAGTGCTAGTGATGACAGACAAGACCCTGGCTACAATGTCACCTGTCTCTACTGTGCTCGACTCTCTTGCTAAGCACAGAGTCAACTTCTCTCTGTATGATAATGTTAGGATTGAACCCACTGATAGTAGGTAAGCTAATCCACTACAATTGTAAAATTGTTTATTATATTCTGTAGATGTGTACCAATAATACCAATATGACCTTAACCCTTAACTGCACCAACCGAGTATTCTCGGTCGGCGGGAAACTGCGCCAACCAAGAAAACTTTTTTATTTTTTTTTTGAGCATATACATGTTGATAGTGATACATAACTACCACAATGTAGGACAGAAAACAGGAGATGCTTTTTTACCCATAGGGTTGTAAACACATATAACAGCCTACCCACCGAAGCCATAAACGGCAAAACTTTGCTGGGTTTTAAAATACAGTAGGAAAAGATAATCAGGGCAAATGGGGAAGGGGTGGGGACCTTTGACAAGCTGCCAGCTTCGTATTCTCATCGAGACCACTATTGGTGGCCCCTCAGGTAAATTCAGGTAAATAACGTGCGTATATAGCGTAATAACGGCACGAACACTGTTTGGTTGATCTAAGAATATAATATACATGTCACCATATATGAGCCCCATATTAACCCTTAAACTGCGCAACACGTCATATGACGTGTTGAGTAAATTACGTAAGTGTGCATCACGTCATATGACGTTTTAGAGTACTATGCAAGATTTAAACGGCCTGCAGATACACGGGGTTCACATATCACCTTCCTCAGGGCTTTTGTAAACAGACACCATTTAAAAAAAATCATGGGCAACATTCCCGGGTGTGAGGGGCCTCAATACTGAGTGAGCCACCAAGGCTGGTGCACGCAGCATGAGCTCACAGCACTGCTGTTCAGCTTGTGACCACAGCATTGCCTAAAAATGTCAAAAACGTATGTAACTGGTATTATTTAGCAATGATAGTATTACAGATGACCCCTGACTATGATAAAAATGACCAGGATTCTGATAATGGCAGGATTGTTGTGATAATTTGTGCTGTGCTGTGGGAGGAGTAATGTTGAGGGTGGGAGGGCTGTAGCATCATCTGCCAAATCTGTATGGCCACATGTTGCTGTTTACACCCACTATACCAGCTTAGTGGTTCGCTATGAACACAAATGTAGATACTTTATATATAATGTCACTGTTGCTTGATAATGCTGATGAAGTGACTGAGAAATATTTGGATTTTGAAGGATTTTCAAATGAAATTTATCAAGAATTATGTGAGGCTGGCAAGGTGGAGGTGACTCTGAATGATGTTGAGGAGTGGTTAGATATTGATGCAGTTGATCCACCCATTGGTTATTTAACATAAGATGAGATTATTCAAAATGTTACTGACACTGATGATGACAACGAAGAGGGCGATGAGTGTGATAGGACGTTAAAATCTGACACATTTGGTGATGCATTGTTCCATGTTGATAAACTCCTTGATTTTGTTTCACACACTGACAGTCCAGAGCTACCAAGCTTCTATCAACACTTAAGAACGATGAAAGATATTTGTCTCGAGGAGATGACAAAAGGAAGAAACCAAACAAATATGATCCAATATTTTGCAAGAACTAGTAAGAAATCAACCACCACAGCCATACCCGGCACCACCACAGCCATACCCGGCACCAGCACAGCCATACCCGGCACCAGCACAGCCATACCCGGCACCAGCACAGCCATACCCGGCACCAGCACAGCCATACCCGGCACCAGCACAGCCATACCCGGCACCAGCACAGCCATACCCGGCACCAGCACAGCCATACCCGGCACCAGCACAGCCATACCCAGCACCAGCACAGCCATACCCAGCACCAGCACAGCCATACCCAGCACCAGCTCAGAAGCAGCTGAAGCAAACGCAGCAGCAGCAAGCACCAGCAAAGCTGATGCAAACTTCTAAGAACATCGCGTGTGGAGTGTACAGTTAGAATAAATGTTAAATTCAAGTACATAGTGTTTAAATTAAGGTTGCAGTAGAGTAATTGTAGCATAAAATAGTTTTCATAAACTGTATTTGTAGTACTCAGCATACAGCAGAACTACTTATCAATACAGTGCTAATGGCATAATACAGTATAGTACATATTTACTGTACAGTATTCACAACTCCATGAGAATTTAAGAGGGACATAATTCCAACAATAAGGTAAATAGCAACTGTAACACAGTAATTTTCTTTTAAAGTAAAGTAGCAATATATAGGTACAGTATATAATATGATAATGCATTTTTATTATTTACAAGAAAAAAGACACTGATACAAACGTCTCCTGAAGGTCACCTCCTGCAATGAATCTAACGCTGCAACGCACCGGGGTTGGCCCCATATAGTGCATTGAATGGAGGTTGTACTATATGTTGAATTTTACTAGGTAGGAGTAGAGCTGTTTGTAAATAATTTTTTCAAATATATTTTATATTATAGGTAGATTTGATATTGGTCTGTAATTGTTTGTCTGCTGGATTGCCTCCTTTATGAACTAGTGTTACTCTTGCTTTTTTAAGGATGTCAAGGAAGGTATGACACTCTAAAGATTTGTTGAACAGCAAAGCTATGGGTGGTGCAAGGTCATGGGAGGCACTGTTGTATACCAAGGATGGTATTTCACTAATGTTCCCGGCTTTGGTTTTTAGCGAGTTAATGATGGACACAATATCTGTCAGACTGACTGGTGATAGAAGAAGATAGTTTGGATAGCTGTCTGAAGGATATGTAGTAATGTGTCTGAGTCTGGGATTTTTCTGGCAAGGTTAGCACCAACCGGATCCAGATCCAGATGGATCTACAATTTCCAGACTAATTGTAGTCTGAACCCAGTGTGTAATAGTCAACAAAATAAAATTGTTGACAAGTGATGGTTTTCTCAGGAGTTGTGGGCACCAAGGCCAGAAAGTCTGTAGTAAGTGCATATCACGTATGATTAATCCAGAATATTAGTTACAATAACAAATCTTTTAATAAATAATTAAATAACATAATGTTGCAGCACTAATGTTTACAGTTTTAACTGGCATGACTTTCATCGGCTACACCATGTGTTTTACATTGACTTCTCCACCTCCCCCACCCCTTTGTGTCAGGCATACCACCTTCAGCCTTGTAGGGGCCTATGGCAAAGTATCATGACTTATGCAAGGGTTAGGTCTTGAATCATTACTTTTTTTTATTTCCACCAACCATAGCAGAATGGATGTGTTTTTTTAGTTAGTCTTTAATCCTCAACAGTTAGCATATTCTCTCCCAGTATCCTCAGTGTTCCACGTCCCACCAGTGATGTGTAATAAATCTTAAATTTATTAAATATGGTTTAGTTTAGGGAAGCCATTTGCAACAAATATTTGTATTTTACATGATTATTCTGTGATTTCAGCTTTAAAAATGCAGTAGAATTTGCAAAATCAGGATGTTTTGACGCATACGTAGCTGTTGGAGGAGGGTCTGTCATAGACACGTGCAAGGCTGCTAACCTCTATGCTTCAGATCCCCATGCTGACTTTTTGGATTATGTCAACCCTCCTATTGGCAAAGGAAAACCAGTGACTGTTCAGCTCTCTCCTCTGATTGCCAGTAAGAAAGAACTTTGTGCTGTCAATAGTAAAGAGAAACTCCAAATGATTCTAGACTTCATTTGCAGATAAACATTATCCTGTAAAGCTTTTATTAAGTCTAACAGATACACTGGTAATTCTATACAGTAATGCTGTACAGATGGAAGTTGGGAAAACACATTGAGATTAAGGCTGGGCTAAAGGTTTGGATACATTAGTTATGAGGACTTTTATGTAAAAATTTATATTCTGGGAAAGCCTCCATTGGTGGCTCCCTGCTGCTAACTACCTGGATAACTCCACCCAATTTCAATTGCACCCGGCTCTTCTGAGTCATTAAAAGCCTACTGAAGGCCAGAGGCCAAAATCTGGTCCCCTTATAGAGGCACAGAGGATTAAAGATCAGTCAGAGAAATAGCCAGCAGAAAGGTAGGACAAGACAAAACTGATAACAGCAACATGAATCTAATCTTTGAAAAAGAGTGACCCAGCAATCAAGTCATTCTGCTAATAGCAACTGACCACCACCAGGTGGCAACACTGCGCTGCTGACTCCCATACCACCCATTCAGTCTTTTTGCCTATTGCAGCCTAATAGGAGTTTTTGCTGCTGCTCCTTCAGTTGCCTCAGGCTCTTAGTTTCAGTTTTCCAGATAAATGGAGACCATCCTTTGGACTTTGTTGTGCAGGGGCCATTTTGCCTGTCTAATGTTAATTTTTCTGGGGGCAGCCTCTTTGGCTCCCTGGAGCTATCCGGGCTGATATGAATGTATTAGACCCAGACATCAGTCAAAGCGAATGGAGTTCTAAGGCCTACCAGGGACCACGAGCCAGAACCTGGCCCCCTCAGAGAGGCACGAGGAGCAATGGCCTATAGAAACCCCTGTGTGGTTGGAAGCATTCTATGTCTGCCATCGACTGGGTCAGGGACTCGGAAAGGTAGGCACCCTAAAACAAACCCTAGCTGGTTAAAAATATGCTACTGAAAGCCGAACTGTTAGACAGAACTCCCCCAAACGGAAAACGAGCAAACAAGCATATCACAACCGTCACCGCGCCGCTCCCCCCCTTTCCAGGAGGGGGAAGGGGGAGCCCCAGACACCCCTGCACCGAATCCACTCCCAGTGGATAGCCGGTGCATGGGGGTTTGGTCTTCATCCACTTCCTTATGCGCAGGGGTTTCTGCTCGTTTGGTCATGGTGATAGGTATGTTCGTTTGCAGCCGTCTCCTTTTCTGGTGAAGAATGAGAATGAGCTATCCAGAGGGGTCTTTGGGTTGATGCTTGGTTGGTCAGGCCGGGGGTGCATGATGTGTTGTCCGGTTGCAGCTATCTGATGTTATTTGCACGCCACGGTGTCTTTGGCCGGGGATGCGCTTTGGGTTGATCTGGTTTCCCTTCTTCCCTGTTCTCGGGTTCGGGTCGCTCAGGTCGTCCTCGGGGTCATTCGGTCTAGCCAGCCTGCGGTCTATCCCCGTGCCCATGACGTCCGTAAATTTGATGCTCTTACTGCCGTCTTCGGTAAGATGTCCTTGGCTGACATTCGGGCACGGGGTTTTTGGTGTTCGAACAGGGCTGGCTGCACACTACCTCGTGAATGTTCCTGGGCTTAGTTGGGCCTGTCACTTTGGGTCGGCGGTTGTACCGAGTTGTCTCGACTTTGAATTGAGATGTGATTATCCACCATCTCCCGGGTAAGTCCCTCTGTTTTCCTCTTTAGTGAAGTAGTTCCAGGAAGCCGAAGGGGCTTCCTCCAGAAAACCAGCGTTGAATGTAATGAAACGCCATTTTTTGGGTGAGTCCCGGAGGCTTCCTGGCAACCCTCCCTCCCTCCGGTCGGCGGTTTTTCGTGTGTTTTTGACATTTAGCCTCAATACTGGTAGGTGGATCGCCAGTGTGGGGGGGGGGGCAGAGCTGCGCAGACATGCAGTGCGGCTCATGTGACGTCATGCTTATTTGCTCATTTTCATTTGGGGAGTTCTGTCCACTAGTTGGTTTATTTTTAGTTTTTTTAACCAGAATAGGGGTTTGTTTTGGGGCGCTTACCTTTCTGGGTGCCTGTCCCTGTCGATGGCAGATATAAAATGCTCCAAATCCCATGTGCATTTCTATAGGCCATTGCTCCTCGTGCCTCTGAGGGGGCCAGGTTCTGGCCATGGTCCCCGGTAGGCCTAGAACTCCATTCACACTGACTGATGCCAAAGTTTAGGGATATACATACATTATCAGCCTGGATAGCTCCGGGGAGCCTCCGGGCCTTGCCCAGAAAATGGCATTTCATTACATTCAATGCTGTTTTTGTTTTTTGGCTCCTGTCTGTTTGGCAGATATTCATACATGTTTATACACTTTTTCACTCATATGTCATGTTTATCCCATTCAAAATCTAAAAAAAAATGCAGCTCCCCAGCCCTCAACCCTCCTGTAACAGCAGCAGCAACAAGGTTAAAGATTAAGTCAGAGGAGGTAATTATATATGTACCTTTTAGATTTTCTGTACTTTTACAGAAAGTAAACATTACAGTTTATTAATGAAAAATATACATTACAGTTCCTACAACTGCGGGCACTGGAAGCGAGACAACAGGTGTGGCTATCTTTGATTATGAACCCATGAAGGCCAAAACGGGCATTGCCAGCCGTGCTCTCCGTCCGACCCTTGGAATCATTGATCCGTTGCATACACTTCTCATGCCTGAGAGAGTTGCAGCTTACAGTGGGTATGTTGTGGAATATTCCTAAATGAGTTTCATGATGTACAGTAGTGATGATTGTTTCCCACCTATAGGGTATATAGGCATAAGACTGGAGGAAATTGAGGAGCAATAAAGTGAAAGAAAATTACATATATTTATAAAACAGTGTTGAATGTAATGAAACACCAATTTCTTGGTGAGCCACAGTGGAGGGCACACTCCTTTGTTCCCTAGGTCCGTGCTTTCTGTGTCCTCCTTCCTTGCCTTGGTCTCTGATCTCTGGACACTCCTTCCTTGTCTATCTTCGGTGCCTGACTGCACCCTGATATCCATGGTGTCCTTCTGTGCAACCATCCACAACATACAATGTAGTTGGTCGTGTACATTGCGTTAACGGCTGCTACTTGGTCCGTTTTCCGTTTTTTTCCTTGCCTATTTCCTTTTTCTCCTCCTTCTATGCTACACATGGCTGTCTCTTGGTTGGTACTTGTTGGCTATCCTGTTGTTAGGTGCTGGGGTGGGCCTCTGTTCATGTTTAGTTCCCTGCTTTTGGACCACCCCAGTGTTTAATTTTGGTACAGAGTTCTTTCCATTTTTCCTTGTACAGGGGTACCTCGGTTTAAGAATTTAATCCGTGCCTGGAGACGGTTCGTAACACGAAAATTCGTAAACCAAAGCGAATTTTCCCATAAGAAGAAATGGGGAATGAATTAATCTGTTCCTGACTCCCCAAAAACTTTACTTCAAAGTAAATTTTATACCTAATTCACCCAAATCTTCACTACAAAAGTATTTTCAAGTTATTACTTACCCTTGCTGATGATTCCTGTTGGCATATGGAAGACAGTGAGGAGGTGGGAGGAGGAGAGGTGTTAGTGTTTGGAAGGGGAGTACCCTTCCATTATAATATCAGGTAGTGATGACTTCTCTGGGGTACTCACTCTAGCACATTTTGCCTGCATACCAATAGGATCAGCTTCTGGCTCACTGCATGATTTTCTCAGTTTTTCTTGAAGATTGTTTTTCCTTCTTTGTAACATTTGTCTGCAGTGAGACATCACAGTCATTAATACGATCAATGCAACGGCCTGCTAAAGCTTTATCTGGGTGATTCTTTTCAGCAAAACTTTGCAGTTTTTCCCATACTGCACACATTTTCTTAATTAATGAGGAAGGGACATCCTCTACTGCCTCCTCCTCCTCCTCCTTCTCCTCCTCCTCCTCCTCCTTCTCCTCCTCCTTCTCCTCCTCCTCCTCCTCCTTCTCCTCCTTCCCTGAAGATTTGTTATACTGCCTAGCTAGTTCAACATCACGTGTACCATTTTCATGTTTACGAATGATCTCTTGTTCTTCCTCTATGGTCTATGGTCATTCTCACATGTGATTTCTTGCCTTGAACCTTACTACTGGCTTTCTTGGGACCGATGGCGAGATATATAATAACTTTTTATAGTCAAATAGCCAAAAATCCGAAAAGAAATAGTAAATCCTTGTGAAGAATTCAGGCGGGATAGTCACTGGGCATGAGAATCTGGTAAACCGAGGCGCGATCGCCGTGCCACCACGCTCTAGATTGGCCATACGCATATCAACAAGCTCGTATCCCGATTCAAATTTTCCGAACAAATCAGGCTTGTAACCTAAAAAGTTCGTAAACAGGGGCATTCGTAAACCGAGGTACCACTGTATCTTACTGCAGGCTTCTGTGTTGCAATGTCTGCAGGTGGTTGTGGACTTCCGGTCAACCGCTCCTGCCCTACTGGTTTCTTTTCTTGGGACAGGAGTCGCTTGGATTCCGGTCCTGCCTATGGCTTTTCTTTGTTCCGTTTCCAGAACATATGTTTTTGTTTTCCTGCGGTACACGTCCTGCGTAGTTCTCCTCATGTATACCTCGAAGACATGTGCGCCATTCTTCCTTGCTGCAGCTGGTTGTGTTGCGGGGTCGCTGTTTTTTGCTTCACGTCTCACGCTTTAGTTTGTGGTGCTCGTTTTCCTCATTGGCCTCTGCCTGGGCCCTGGCTCTTCGGTGTTTGGCCATGTTGGTCCTTCGGGGGTCTTATGGGGGGGGGGTTCCTCCCGGATGGGGCATGTCTGCTCATCCGTGTTGGTTCCTTTTCGGCTCGTCGGGATTGGGTTCCTGGTTCCCTGGCGGCCATTCCTTCTGGATTTTGCCAGCCTTGGTTGAGGGCGCTGCTTTACTCAGTTTCCAATCCTGAGGGTCTTCCCGCAACTCCGCCTCTTTTTGCGGATCGGTTCAGTCCTGTAAGTGGCTGATTCGTCCTTTCCCTTGAATCTTTGCATCTCGGGGCTTTTGTTTCGAGTTTCTCGTTGCTTGTGTGGGCACTGGTGGCTTCGTTGTTGGTCTCCCACCTGCGTGCTTCGTCTCGGCGGCAGTGTGAGTTTTCCTGGTGGTCCTTCCGATTTTCCTATCACTGCGAAGGGTTCTTTGGTCTTTGACAGGGTTATCATGTCTTTTCCTTCAGGATTGTTCCGTGACCGTCGTCTGGTGCCGTGTACTGTCGCCTTGTCTTGGGTGGCGTTGGCGGAGCCGCTCCAGCTTGCATTTTGTGTTGCTGTTCCTTCTGCTCCGTTCCGCGTACTGTCTTAAGCGTTGTTTCACCTCCGGCCAGCTCTTGTGCTTCTGGTGCCGTCCTGGTCATTGGCCCTGGTTATCTTGATGATTTCGGGGCTTTTTTTTTTAGTGTCCCCGCGGCCCGGTCCTCGACCAGGCCTCCACCCCCAGGAAGCAGCCCGTGACAGCTGACTAACACCCAGATACCTATTTTACTGCTAGGTAACAGGGGCATAGGGTGAAAGAAACTCTGCCCATTGTTTCTCGCCGGCGCCCGGGATCGAACCCGGGACCATAGGATCACAAGTCCAGTGTGCTGTCCGCTCGGCCGACTGGCTCCCTCTACTGGTGATCTATTTTATTTATTCTTCTCGGTTTGTTGTGATCCCTTCAGTTCTGGTGTGTTTTTGTTTTGTTTTTCAGGTCTCCTTCTCCTATTGGCGTTGACCTCTAGGGGTCGGATCGGAGAGTTTCTGGCTCTCCTCCGGCGCCCATGTTTTTTCTACCTCGTTTGGTCCTCGTGGTAGGTTGTTCGTTTGTCGCAGTCTCTTTCTTTTCAGGTGTTGTTTGGATCTGCTGCTTTCTGGCGGGGTCCTTGGGTTGTTGCCTGGTTGGTCAGGCTGGGGGTGCTTCCCTTGTTGTTCGGTTGTGGCTTTTCGCTGTTCTCTGTGCGGCTTGGCCTCTGGAGCCGTGGATGCGTTTTGGTTTGCCCGGGTTCCCTTCCTTCCCTCTTTCCGGTTCTGGGGTTCGGGTCTCTCAGGTCGTCTGCGGGGTCCTTTAGTTTTGTCTGTGGTCTTGTTTTTATGTTCGGGTGCGTGGTGTCCGCCTCCCGGATCCTTCCCTCTTTTCCTTTTTTGTGGTGAGGTAGCTTCGGGGATCCAATGGGGCTTCCCCCAGAAAACCAGCGTTGAATATAATGAAATGCCATTTTATGGGCGAGTCCTAGAGGTGTCCCTGCATCCCTCCCTCCCCCCCTCCGGTCAGTGGCGTTTTTCACATATTTTGACATCCAGCTTAAGAACTGCTAGTTGGATCGCTGGCACAGAGGATTTGGGGCTCCCCCTTTCCCCTCCTGGGGAGGGAGGGGGGTTGCACAGACAGCAGCGCGGCAATGTGATGACGTCATGCTAGTTTGATAATTTTGCTTAGGGAGTTCTGTCCACTCGTTCGGCTTTTGGTAGCAATATTTTCACCAAAATAGGGGTTTGTTTTGGGGCGCCTTCCTTTTTGGTTGCCTATCCTGGTCGATGGCAGATATAGAATGCTCCCAACCACAGGGGTTTCTATAGGCCATTGCTCCTCGTGCCTCTGAGAGGGACAGGTTCTGGATTGTGGTTCCCGGTAGGCAAGAACTCCAAGCACTTTGATGCCAGAAAGTTATACATATCCATTCAGCCTAGATAGCTTCGCGGAGCCTCCGTGACTCGCCCAGAAAATGGTGTTTCATTACATTCAATGCTAGTTTTCTTCTTCAGATAATGTCTTAATGTCCTCTTCAGATAGTGGTCTTTCAACACCGCGTCCCACAGAGGATTGAGAGCTGGAGGCACTTACGTCAGCCATGGTTGCTTGAGTAGAACTGAGGCTACCTGCAGCGTTGGGGCATTCTGGGAATTTTTTTCAAAATGGCTGCTGCTCACTGGAGGCCTCGGGCATCCATCTCGTACCCAACCTATCACACACGTTTTGAATCTTACGATAATTTAAAATTGGGTTTTCTCGGCCTGCGCAATGCCTGCTTCGCGTAATGTCGGGTGGCGCAGTCCAGTGGTTAAGTAAGGACGAGTAGAAGGAAGCTCGTGCCCTTACATTGAGTGACTTCCTACAAAGGTCCCTTCCTTACAGCATTCTTTTCTTTTATTGCTTCCCTATCTTCCCAGCTTTGTGCCTTCCACCCTCATGAAAGTGGGAAAAATTGTTGTTGCAGTGTTATTATTAATTATATTATTACTGTAATCATTGTTATGTAAACTATAAATTTGTTTTGCTTTAATAGATTTGATGTGTTGTGCCATGCCCTGGAGTCATACACTGCTATTCCTTATCATGAAAGGTCACCATGCCCAGAGAACCCCATTCTGCGCCCAGCATACCAAGGTTCTAACCCCATATCTGACGTATGGGCTGTCCATGCTCTAGGTATCCTAGCTAAATATTTTAAGAGGTGAGGACTTGAACATGTGTGTTTCTTTGTAATGGGATTTGCACTCACTTGTGGTAGAGTATAGAATAGCAATATTAAATTTTAAAATATTTCCTGGGAGGGACCTCTTAACAGTTCCTCGAGTTCATGTCTGGTACTACCAAGCCTCAGCTCAACAAACTGGGCTCCTAAGACACATCAGTTACCTACTGGAAGCCTTAACCAGATTCTGGCTCACTTTATGTGACGAGGAGAGCAAGGAATTGAAGATCAACTGCCACACTGGGGAAAACCCACCAGAAAGTATAGATGTGACAAAACAAACAGCTGCTTGAAGGAAACTAGTTCCTGTAGATAAACAAGGCAAACAATCAGTGCAGCAGGGTAAGTACCTATCTTGACTGTTAAGTCTAGCAGTGAACAAATGGTGGCTCACATCACTTCTGATCTTAGCCAGCTTACCCCTTCACTCTACTGCCTGGTGTCATCAGCCTAGCACCTGTAGTCTCTAGTGGGCCCATCGTGGCTTTTTGCATTTGGCAAAGTGGAGCTGAAATTTCCTGAAACATTAGCTCTACTGGGGGGCTGTTGCTTTGTATTTCTTAACCACCGTGCTGCGCCGAGTTTATTGTGAAATTCCCCCGGTGCGCATGAAATAAAGTGTTCCCCAAAAATTCTTTTTCTTCGTAAAATGACAAATTCCCTTCCCTGAATATGTCTATGCAAAATAAATACCAAATTCCACTTACTTTGGCTGTGGGGACGTGGACAAGGTGCGCTGTGACGTCATCAGGGCCTGGTCGCTCGTGCATGACTTGCCCAGACATGGTCGCGCGGGCCATTCAAGCACCGGGTGTTGCCACAAATATATTTTCAATTACTGTATTTGTTTTATGTATTTCCAATGCGGTTTTATTTGTTTTTTTTTATCGTATATGATGCATATTTGTGTCCTTTACAACATGTATACAGTAGAATGTTCATAATGTTCCATGGAACTGTGATACATGTGTCAGTAATGTGTCCACAATAAATGTTTATTGTCGCAATATTACCTGTTAAAAATTCACTAAAATTACAATATGTACAGTTTCACACACTATTTACACAGTAACACACTGTATTACACACTTAGTACTTCGGAAGTGAGTAATAATCAACGAAGTAGCCCATGGTACACAGCACAACTTCGCTGTCAGTGCACCAGGTAAAGATAAATTTTCGCTTCCTGTTTCTTCATTATGTGTGCTTGCAAATAACGCACTCACGTGGAGCCGGTCGGCCGAGCGGACAGCACGCTGGACTTGTGATCCTGTGGTCCTGGGTTCGATCCCAGGCGCCGACGAGAAACAATGGGCAGAGTTTCTTTCACCCTATGCCCCTGTTACCTAGCAGTAAAATAGGTACCTGGGTGTTAGTCAGCTGTCACGGGCTGCTTCCTGGGGGTGGAGGCCTGGTCGAGGACCGGGCCACGGGGACACTAAAGCCCCGAAATCATCTCGAGACAACCTCAAGATAAGTCAAAGATGGTCCTGGCCGCACGGTCCCTTGTTAATTTTTCGGGCCTTTCTCGGGCATGTGTAGACTTGGGTTGCAGCTAGTTATCCCGGGTAAGTCCTTCTTTTCCTTTCTTTGATTAGGTAGCTTTGGGAAGACGAATGGGGGCT